CCTGGGCTGCTTCTTCCATCTTTACCTGTCCGCAAGAGACTAACCCTGAACATTCAATCTTCTGATCCTTGTAATTACAAAACGGCTTATCTCCACCATCACAGCAGGGCTGTAGATCCATTGCTTGCATAAAACAGTGGGCCAAAGGTCACCAGGATCACTTTATAAATCTTATAGTTCCCGATATCAGACAACGGCAGGATACCAACTGTTTCACAGACCCCCAGCGTTCACCCGCTGTGGTGTCGGATCTAGGACGGTGTTACCTTTTTAAAAATCCTCAATCCTCTGTTGTCATCCACCTACCTCCAAGTATTCAGTCTGGTTGCTCTTGAGAAGCTGTCAAGAAAAGACAGCCTGCCTGCCCGTAAGACAAATGCTACTTGAAATCACAATAATTATAATATTCAGTGTGATCTTTCATTTTGTGAAGCTCTCACATACATAACTACCTTTAGCACCAGGACTGTGTGAGCCAGGCATTATGTAAATATGTTCTGCTCATGAGGAAACTCCAAGATCAAATAACAGATGAATGGTAGAGTCAGACTTTGAACCCTTCATATGCAAGGAGAAAACTGACCCGCCTTTCCAGACTCAGCTCAGGCAACGCCACCTCTGAGTCCCAAATGACCCTCCTATATCCCATCCAATTCCCGGAGGGGTTGCTCACTTCTTTCTTGCAGATTCACTGTACCCAGTACATATCCCCAATGAGACAAGCATGGAGCAGGGGTCCCAAGGTGACTGCATTGACTTGGTTTCAGGTATGTCAAGTTGTGTGTTTGAAAAGCTGGTGAGTCCACCTGAGGGAAGCCTATTTGCATAAGAGTCTGTGATGCCCCTGGGAAAGGATTCATCCTATTGGAAAAACATGATGAAGGGCAGGAGAAAGATAGGAAGGCCAGAGAGCAGCGTTGGGAAAGGGGTTCGGTGTGTGTGTCATTCACATCCCCTTCTTATGCAGCTTCCTGGGTCCTAAGAGAGGAAACTTCAATAAAAACTGGAATAAATAAAAAGGTTGCTTCCTGAAATCTCTTTAAGATTCAGAAAACACATAGAAAGTCAGTGTAAAGAAACAGACCACAAGGTTGACAGGGGAGGATGTAGGGGAGGGGCAGAATAAAGTACTTTCCCCCACATGAGGGTCCTCTTGGGATGAGGCAAGCCTGGACACAAGAGCTACAGCACGAGGCCAGACCATCTGCTCTCCCAGAAAGGAAGAGGACGTGGGCATCTTCAGATGTTCTCAGCAGCACTGGTCCTTCTGTATGGCAGGGACAGGTCTCCCACAGGGAGCTGGAGCAGAAAGGGAGTTAAAAGGCAGCTTCACTGTGTAGGCTAAAGGGGCTAATTTGCAGGTACTTTTACATCCTGTGGGAACTTCAAGAGTGCTCAGAGAAGAGTGTGAGCTGATCTGGAGTTCTCATAACATGGCTGGGATCGATCTACTTTGACTTCACCTTGCTGTAACCAGAGAAACCGGCCATTAACCAACACTCCTTTGCTAATTGATCTCACTGACTCTGTATTCTCAGAATTTAAAACAGTGACTAACACTTCATCCCAAAGTTGTTTTTTGAGATTTCAATACATTGCCAGGGCTCATCTGGAACTCCTGGGCTCAAGCGATCCTCCTGCCTCAGCCTCCATGAGTAGCTGAGATTACAAGCACACATCACCACACCCCACACTCAAACTGCTTTTGTGATGCCTTGTTTCCAGGATGCACCATCTGATCTCACTTTAGAGACCTCGCCCATGCGAAGTCTCCTGGCTTCTCTTAAAGGCTTAGAGACATAATTGGGTTTGGTAGTAGTTACAAAATAAGGCCATCATGATTCTCTGGCAGAGCAGAGAGCTTCCTAGCTTCCCAGCAAAGTGCTAGTTTTATGAAATCCCACTGATATGCTTTCATTCTTGAGGTATTGGTCCTCACTCCAATGCAAAAATCCTTAGGAGGGTAAACTCTTTCAACAGCTGTCTGTCATTTACACATCTTTAGGCATGTGCTTTAGAGCTCATCCTTAAGAACACGTTTTGGTAACTGAAAGGCCCTGAGGATTTGAGGAGAAAGAAAAGTGGGCAGCATGGGGAAACTAGGGAGGGATGAACTTCACTTGTTTTTCAGCTTTGTTGGGGCACCATCCTGCCTGAGCTTCACTTTTTTCCTTGTCCTCTTTCTTTCTCTCTGCAGCCCCAAGCAAATGTTGAGCTAAAAAGAAAAAGGTCAGCAGTGAGAAGAGGACTAAGCGAATGGCCTTAAACTGCTTTCCCTCAGTCCCCAGTGCCTCAGGGGTACTGGAGTCTTCTGGGAAGGAGCAAGCTTGTCTCTGACCAGTACCTGTAAACACTAAAGGTTGTTTTGCCAAATGCCAAAGTCCGAAGTGTTTCCGGAACAAAGAAAAGCAATGGTAGGTGGGGCCCAGGGTGGGTCTCCTCCTGGCATCTGACAGACTACTCAAATGCTCAGTTTCCTTCTGTGAGCAAACATAGCACCCGTGAGTGGTAACTATTTTAAATTAATCACACATCACTTTTTAAACAGACTTTGAAGAGCTGAGCTCTGAAAAGTTATCAGCCACTCATTCGTTAGGGAGGAGAGCTGACAGGCTCATTCAACACCCAACTGCCTCAGCAGTCATGAATGGAGGCGGCAGCCAACTCCTACAGCCTAAGATAACTTGGTCAACAAAAACACCCGCTTTTGAGTGATTTACCAGAAAAGGACTGAGGCAGGAGAATAGCTTGAACCCAGGAGGTGGAGGTTGCAGTGAGCCAAGATCACATCACTGCACTCCAACTTGGGTGACAGAGTGAGACTCCATCTCAAAAAAAAAAAAAAAAAAAAAAAAAAAAAAAAAAAAATTGAGACCACTTTAACTTGAAAGTTACCCCCTTTTCCGGAGATTTTTTTTTTCTCTCCCTCCCTCAAGCCAATAATGTCCCTCCACACAGACATGGGATGCATGGGTACTCTTCCCTTTCCTTCTTCATACAGAGTGTATACGTTTCATTCTGTCTTAGGATTAATTATCAAATTAGATGATGAGAGGAATGGACTAAATAATTTCTAAATTTCTTCATTACTCTAACATTTTTTGTCTATAAGCATAAACTTATTCAATAACAGAAGTCACAGGTGAAGAAGGAAAAGCCCACGTGAAAAGCAGAATCATGGCTCCAGGAAGCAACGACACTACTGATTGAAAGAGAGTGGGGACAAAGTCCTGCTGACATGCCTGTATTTCCATCAAAGGCAAAAATTAAACGTTTACTTTTTAGCCAACTCCAGGCTTTGTGCCCATTCCCTCTTTGTCCTTATTCCTTCTTTCCCAAGTATTTCAGGGAATTCTTCTAACTGTTTATGGAGAATTACTGAGAATCTGCTTAAATACAGATTAAATAAGAACTTCTAAAGAAGGGTTTCATTGGCCTGCATTGGTCCACTTTTTCATCCATCTACTTTAATTTGAGTCTCGTTGGCAAATGCTTCCAACAACAACTTGACAAACCTCTTACTCTTGCCTGCTTATAACCTGATTATCTGCTTTGAACAATAGCTAAAGCCATTCCTCTTTTCCTGGAATGGGTTTTTTCCATCCTCTCTGCCAAACTATAGTTCATCTACACATTACTGGAGTACCTTGTGTCCTGTTACTAACATCACACCACTCTGTGCAGTCATAGAACAAGAGTGGGAGGGGACCTCTGAGACTGTCTGTCCAACCCTCATATTAAAAAAGAGGCAACTGAGGAACAGAGAAAGAGACATGTATTGCTTAAGGAACTCATAGCATTTGTGGGACTAGAACCTTTATATGCACCATACAACTTTTTTTTTAGGAGTCTTGCTCTGTCACCCAGGCTAGAGTGCCCATCTAAATATTGTATTTTCAGTAAAGACAGGGTTTCACCATCTTGGCCAGGCTGGTCTCAAACTCCTGACCTCCTGATCCACCCGCCTTGGCCTCCCAAAGTGCTAGGATTATAGGCGTGAACCACTGCACCAGGCCCACACAACTTTTATATTCCATACTAGTACTTCCTAGAAAATCAAAGCTAACTTTCAAGGTGCCACTAAAAGTTGCTATTTAAAGGAAACCTACATTGACTATTACCATAAATTCAAAACATATTTTACTCTGCTTGTCATCAGTAAAAGAATTGCTTGAAGTGTATGGAATAAACCTATCCTCTTGCAAAACTAGTTAATGGCTCTTCAACTCACTGAAGACCTGAGGCTGCTTCTTGGAAGGTGGTCCTGTGCTGCAGATAATTATGTCACTTGGGTTTCTGGTGATTACATTATGACTTGATTCTAAGATTCTTACTCTCACGAGGGAGGGTCTTGGCTCTTTTGAGAGTTCCCTAGACCCCTGAGTGGTGATAAAATTGTTTTTACTGCCCTTCCTTAATAAAGATGTTGCGCTTTACCCACGTCCTGCTGTTAGCACTACTTGATGTGCCGTCTCAGAACGAGAAAAAGGAGGATCCCAACCTTCCAGCAGGAAGGCTTAGAGAAGAGGCTGTTGGCAAGTGTCTCTAAGAATTGCACAACACTGGCTGAGGGTGGGTTAAGGGTGGGGACGCAGAGGAGAATAAACAGAAAACAACAATCCCAATGTTAGTTAGGCTTGCAAAAACTAAAGCCTGCTTCAAAAGTCGGGTGATTAACCTGAATAAGAAGCAAAGCTTCCTTAGTTGTGGCAAGCGCAGGCCTCCCAGGGCCTCCCTTAGGTCCCCCTCCGAGCCTACTAACCAACAGAAGCGGCATCTCTGCCCAGCTGCGCAAAGTAAAAATCGGAGTGGGAATGTAAAGTCGTTAACTCATACAAATACTGGACTTTCGCCTCCCTCCCCATTCCTCCCTCTCCCAGCCCAGTCCCGCAAATGCCTCCCAGGGGAGACCCAAACTGCCTCTACCAGGAAGGGACTCCCCGGCCAAACGCCCCTGATGAAGTTACCAAAGAGGAGGAAGAGCAGGAGGGTGAACCCACCTCGGCCTCAGAACAAGTCGGCAGAAACGGGCAGCACAGTGGAAAGTTTTGTTTCTCAACCGCTTCTTCCTCCCTAGTTCGATGCTGGGAAGCTGGTAAGAAAACGCAAAGATGTTCTTTGGAAACCTGCTTTGCATCTGGGTGGGGTTGGCGTGCGTCCGCGGGGTGAATGTGTGGACCCGGACGCAGAGGGGTGTGGCGTGAGGAGGAGGGTCGGCCTGCGAGCCTCTGCGCAGCTGGGACCGCGCCCCGCTTCTCCGAGGAGGCCCCTCCCTCCTGGATCCGCCTTTGGAGCTGGCGCGGCAGAAGCCCCCGCCCTAAGGCCGCAGAGGGACAGCCCGGGCAAAAAACGAACCTGAGACCCACGTGCCCCTTCCTCAGCTGGAACCCAGAGGGCAGCAGCCGCGAGGGCACAACCTCCACGGACAGCAGATGGCGGGAAACTGGCTTCTGTTTCCAAGAGCCAGGCGGCCCTTCGCAGACGACCCCTGGCTGAACGTCCAGGAACCCTTGAAACTTGGTCTTGACACTGGTCGGCAGCCCATCTGCCACGTATTTAGTGCTGCTTTCTTTGGCAGGACAGGCCAACGCGAGGCAGTTTGTGTTTCAACTCTAACTGAAACTTTTTTCAGTACTTGCCAAAATGGTGTGGAAAAATGGCATCACCTCGGGCTCGTCCGGGATTTGAACCCGGGACCTCTCGCACCCAAAGCGAGAATCATACCCCTAGACCAACGAGCCATTGTGAACTGCTATGGCTTCTTGTCGTGCTGAATTTCTTTTTTTCCGCCAGCAGCTGGCCACCTCTTATTACGAAGGGTTTATTTTAATTTTTTTATTTTTTTCTTCCCTCTGTAGTGACATTTTCCTTTGGCCTTATTTAGTTATTCCTTCCACCTTTACTAAGTTTCACGTGTGGCTCTGGCCTTACCCTCGCTTATTCTCCTCGATACAGACGCAGGATGGGGTGAGAAGGGGCAGCCTTTTAGACTTTAGGTCACATGTTTGAGTCTCACCGAGCCCGGGGTAGAGATTTAGGCCCCGCTAGAGCCTGGAGGGAACCTGAGGGGACTGAGATGGAGATCGAGGGCCAGAGCGGAGCTCTCAGTAGGGTACTGAGCCTGAGGACAGGCGCGCGCTATGTATAATCCAGAAGCCAAAATATAACACACTTCAGTAAGATAATAGTGTATCCCCCGCAAAGGGGGGACCATTCGGGTCTACTGTCTCACAGAAGGGTATCCGACTTTTCAAGACACGACTAACGCAGCTCAACTCGTGGCTATTTCCTTCGGACAAGGGTTAAGGGATACCAAGAGATTTCATCATGTCAACATACAGAGATTTATTGAGCAAACGGAGAGCAACTGTAAGCCCCAAAATAGCAGCTTCTCCTTCGAGCCGGAATCGAACCAGCGACCTAAGGATCACAACACAGCAAGTACTACAGTCCTCCGCTCTACCAGCTGAGCTATCGAAGGGAGCGCGAAGGAACGCTTTCTAAAAATCCCTATTCAAGACATCCTTAACCAGAGACGGGAAAAAAAATCTCTTAACATCTGGAAAGTGATTACTGCAGCGTCGCAAAGCCAGCTCGTAAGAACGTCCTGAGTCCGGGGTTCTGAGGACAACCTTTCTAAAGCTGGATTTCCCTGCTGCGCCGAGGGGCTCCCGAGCAGAGCAGTCGCCCCCGGAACCTGGGCATCCCCAGGCTGCACATCCTCTGGGCGCCCGAGGGTTGTTGGCCTCACTGGGCGGGGACCCAGGGGCCTCGCGGGCATGGATGTGTGTGTTTGTGTGTAAGCGGGGGACCGGCGCCTGGGCTTTGGAGAACCGGGGGCTGCGGCGGGGGGACGCACACAATTCTGACTGCGCAACTGTGAGCGCCGCAGAGGGCGGGCCTCCAGGCTCAGGCCGGGGCTCCCGGGTGTCCTCACTTCCTGCGCTCCCCTCCCCATCTCGGCTCTTCCGCGGACGCGTCCACAGACCCGGGAGGGAGAGGGTGTGGAATGGAGCAGCGGTCCCCACTTTTTTGGCGCCAGGGACCGGTTTCGTGGACGACAGTTTTCCACCCACAGTGGTTGGGGCGGTGGGGTGGGAGCTGGGGGATGGTCTCGGGTTGAACTGTTCCACCTCAGATCGTCAGGCATCACTTAGATTCTCTTAAGAAGCGTGCAGTTTCGAACCCCGGCATGCGCAGTTCACAATAGGGTTCGCTCCCGTGAGACGCTGAGGTCACAGCTCATCTGGCAGGAGGCGGAGCTCAGGCTACCGGTACTGGTCGCGCCCCAGCTCGCCTCCTGCTGTTCGGCCCAGTTCCTAACAGGCCGTGGACCGGTACCTGTCCGCGGCCAGAGGGTCGGGAACCCCTGAAACGTGTGGGCAAACCCAATGTTTCTGTGAGAATTCGCTTTTGGAGAAGATTTTAGCTCATTCAAAAGGATGGCCACATTTTTCTGCATCAGAAGCAAATTTAGTGACCCAAGTCTCGCCCCTGAAGTCGGGCCCTTGATTTCCCAAAACCCCACTGGCACATGAAACCTTGCCGCACAGCGGGCATCTATCTTCCAGACGCCTAATCCGAGCAGCCCCCGCTGCCTTTTCCCGTTTCAGTAGGGGAACGTCGATCTCCACTCCAAATATCCCCAGACCCGGGGCTTAAGAATAGCTTAAGGGGCTCTTCTCTTGCCTGGCCGCCCCCATTTCCCGCTCGGGGCACTGGTTCCGGCAGCCAGCCAGGCTCTCGCCACCAGTCCGCAAGCCAGGGCGTCGCAGAAGCTGACGGCGATTCCCACCGCTGGTGTAATGGATTCCGCCCATTCCAGGCGACAGGGCAGCGTTACTACCGGAACCTAAAGGTAACGGCGTTTCAAAGCTCTGGACCGAGGCAAGAAGCTATAATTTGCCACATTTCTTGAGGCTTAGTTCAGAATGACGAGCAGGGGGATTTTTTAAAGAAAAACCTGATTCAAGAAAGTAAACTTATAAGGCCCCAGCGAGATTTGAACTCGCGACCCCTGGTTTACAAGACCAGTGCTCTAACCCCTGAGCTATAGGGCCTCACGGAAACCTCCTCTCTCCCTTTCATAGAAAAGGAAATGATTTGCAGGGCCGCTGCTAATATGAGTATAGAAACTAAGCAAAACCTTGATATTTCAATCCATTTCCCAACCACTGGAATTCAGTTCACAGCCTCAGTGTTTTTGCTGGGGATGGTGCAAAGTGAAGGCCAGTGACAGCGACCAGTACTATTCTAAGACTGGAGAAGTTTGCCCAACGCGACACAGTCTAACACACCACAAGATTCTCCACTCCCCCACTTCAGACTGAAAATTAGGAACGGAAAATCAACCGAGGAAGAAGCCCACCACAGGCCTCACTTGAAATTGCTGACATCCGCATTTTGCTTCCTGCTTGACTCAGGGCTTCGTACCAGCAGCTGCCTGCCTCTTCCAAGTTCCTTGGACGCAGAGACCTTTCTCACAGCTACGAGTCTCAGCGCCAGAGCAGGCATTCATTACTTCTCAGTTTAATTTATTCCGTCATTCAGCAAATACTGCATTCCAATTCTGTGCTAGGCTCTGCACTAAGAACTAGGGATCCAGATATGATCTTTATCCTGAAGTCACTGTCACAGTCTTGTGGAACAAAAGAACTTCAGTTTTCGTGAAGGAAAACAATGTAAATTAGCTGTGCCAGGTGTAAAGGAGCAGTGGCCATGCCAAGGTCCGCACACTTAACAAAGTGAGCCATCCGGAGGGGTCTTGAAGAGAGCATTGGCCTGAGCTGCACTACGACGGGAGGTTAAGACAGACAAAAATGGGAGCAGGGTGGTCCCTGGTAGAATAAAATTACGGGCAAAGTCCGAGAGAAAGACTGAGGCATTCAAGGGAACACTGGCTGGGGCAGTAGGTGAGAAGAAAACAGAAATTAACCAAACATTGATGAGTTTGCGGAATGAATTGAAGGGAGGAGCAACCGGAGTCAGAAACACCAGTGATTGATTGGCATCGTGCAGGCGCTCCAACGTAAAGCTGCATAAGGGTAATCGTTATGGGACTGGAGAGGAAGGGATGAATGAGAGCGATACAGCTAAGGGAGATTCTGCTGAAAGTAAATATGAAGTACAATCAAAAGGAAAGAGAGGGGACCCTCAAAGGTGTCTTGAAGAAGCAAGATAATACTTGCAGAAAAAAAGAAGCCTACCTCTTCAGGGTACCTGGAGAGGCAGAGGGGTGATGCTAGGATTTAGGTAAGATGAAGATGGAGCGGTTGATGTGAATTGTGTGACAGCCAAAATACTCTTGTGTCTAGAGTTCCATGAATTGATAAATGAATTGATCAAATTGCATAACTCATCCATTAAGTTAGGAGTTCTACAGGTTATGCACTCTTGAAGCAAAAGAATACAGAGGAAACAGCCGAGACTAGAATATAAACTTTGAATAGCCCTGTTATAGGTGTTTGTTATATTAGTGTGTTTCCAACATATTTTAAAAATTCTCCTTACATGTGGCTATTTCACGTATTATAAGTAAGTCTGTCCTAGAACACTTGCTTTCCCAGCTTGCAGCTGGGAATAGGCATGGGACCTAGGCTCCACCAATCAGATGCCTCAGCCATCGAAGCTTGACATTTAGAAACAAAACAGGAGTACACGATACCGTAGGGAAAACCCATGTTTTTCCAAATACGGTATCAGTGTCAAGTTTTTGAGTATGGGTTGTCTTAAATCCACATACTGTTGTTTTTCTTTAGTTCTGGAAAATTCTCAGTCATTGTATTAGTTTGCTAGGGCTGCCATAATAAAATACTACAGACTAGCTGACTTAACTGAAATTCATTTTCTCATAGTGCTGGAGGTCAAAAATCCAAGATCAAGCTGTTGGCAGGTTTTGTTCCTTCTGAGGCCTCTCTCCTTCACTTAGAGATGGCTGCCCTCCGCACATGGCTGTCCCTCTGTTGTCCACACCCCAGGGCCTCTCTTTGTGTCCAAATTTACTCCCCTTATAGTGACACTAGTCAGGTTGGATTAGGACCCATCCTGAAGGCCTCATTTTAACGTAATCACCTATTTAAACGCCCTATCTCCAAATTCAGTTACATTGTGAGGTACTAGGGATCAGGGCTTCAACATATGAATTTGGGGGGGGGGATACATTTTAGCTAATAGTAGCCGTTATTTTCTCCTATATTGTTTGTTTTTAGGCTAGTCAAGTGAAGCAGTGGAACTGGAAGGAACAAAGAGATCTGTAACTGGTTGTGATCAAGTAGTTGTAAACACCACTGCACTCAGAACAGCCAGCCTCTTATATTGCTTTTACTCTATTTTTTTCTCTTTTTTGGAACTGAGATTAAACATCTATTAGAGCTTCATACCTTGTCTTCCATTTCTTTTAACCTCTCTTTCATATATTTTTTTTTTTTGTCTTTTTCTCTATATTGCATTCTGGATAACGTTTTCTTACCTGTAATACCAATCAGTGTCCGGGAATGGTGGCTCATGCCTGTAATCCCAGCACCTTGGTAGGCTGAGGTGAGTGGATGAGTTCAAGACCAGCCTGGCCAACATGGT